AGAGCTGCCAACTTGGCGGGGGGGGGGGGAATCTAGTCCCTTCAATAGCCGCTTAATGGGATATCAGTCACCAGGTAGTGTTATTCATCACTATGCCATTAAAAGTCACAGATGCCCATTTCCACGTATTAAGCCTCTGCTAAAGAGAGAGGACTTTTTTCTCCAGGCCTTTTCTTATGTTATTGTGTTTTTAAAAGCCCCTTCACACCCTCAAGGCAGGTGGGGATTTAAACAAAACTGAAGTTGCCTTTTGCCAGGCTAACCGAATAGCTGTTTGGAGCATTTGTATGAGTTCAAATTGGCTTTGCTTTCACCAGATTCTCATGCCTGTATTCAAGCTTGCTGCTGCCCTTCTGTGCTGAGAACAAATTTGTAATAAATGAGTTAAGACAAGTAAGATGAGAACCTCGGGACCTGACCCAATTTAAACACACACACATATACACAAAACCATGATTCATGGGTTTCTTGGCTAGTTCTTATACGACCTATGTCAAGCACTGGCCGCACAAGCAGAAAGCTAAAAAAGAACAAAACAAAAACATTTTCTAACCAATTTGGCCTCTGGGAACTATTTTTATGTATCTTGCAGTATCCCCAGAGGAGAAATGAGCTGTGCTAGGTCAGCTCCAAAGTCACCCTTAAGGCTTCTTGCCAGGTCATCAAAGTACTTTAGGCCAAGAGGATACACTGAAAAGCAGATGTTTCTGCCAGAGAATACATTCAAAAGTGGCAGCCTAGTTAAACACACAAATCACAATATCCAGGAGGACTAGGCCTCTTTTGCTGTTAAAAGAATCTGATCTACATCTACCATCTGCCCTTCAACTGATCGATTAAAACAATTTACATATTACAAAAACCTTAATATAGATTGTTTTTGAGAATACTGACAGAAGACAGTACAGAATGTAATAGAAAATCTAAAAGATGAACTTTTAGTCTTACAATGAGCAACCGTTTGACAGTACCACAGCAGAACCAAAACAGCCATAAAACCATAAAAGTGTACTCTTACCATACAGTTGTCTCAATGTAAATGTATCTAAGCAATTAAAATTTCTCTCATGGATTAGTCACCTAAAGCTTTAGTTGATTAGTCTGTCAATGAAATCTTGAACCCCAACGCTACCATATTAGTCACATAAAAAAAGAGAAGCACTCAGTATTCCAGGATGGGTTCTTAGCCCCCACACTTTTTAATCTTTATATAAATGATGTAGTCCCATATATCAAAAAAACAATCTGTCACGCACCCATACTAGCGGGACAGGAAGTTCCTATACTACTTTATGCAGATGATGCAGTGCTGCTATCCAGATCAGAAGTTGGCTTGCGTAAGCTAGTGAATGCTTTTACTGATTACTGTATCCAAGAGGGGCTGATGATCAACTATGAGAAATCAAAAATAATGGTTTTTTCTAACAAACCTTGTTTAAAACAAAGATCATGGAAGGTTAAGGGTGGGGAGATAGAACAAGTGTCTCATTTCAAATATCTGGGGATAGTGTTCAGCTCCAGTTGCCGCTGGAAACATCATATAAGAGCAGCAACTGAAATCGCTAAATTAAATTCTAATGCCCTCCTTAAATTCTATTATTCAAGAGGCGGCCAGTATGTCCCAATGGCCATTGCAGCTTTTAATGCGAAAGTTACTTCACAATTTTTATATGGGGCTGCGATCTGGATTAAAGAAATTTCGGAATTATCAGATCAGATCCTTCTCCAGTTCCTGCGTAAAATTGCAGGAGTCCCTAAATGTGTCGCAGGGACGGCACTTAGAGAAGAATTCGCACAATGCTCCTTTGAGTCAAGAGCCTGGAAGGCAGCCTTTAAATTGAGACTGAAAGTTCTTTATATGACACCTAATGCTCAAGGAGGTCTTCTTTATCTTTTAAAAGGGGATAATTATAAATGTACGTGGGCAAAACATATAGATAACAAGCTGGAGTGGATTGGTCTCGCCCCTACGGGGCTTAATAATTTAAATTATCAAGAAGCGCTAAATTTGATGAGATTGAGGGTGACAAACATTGACCGACTCAGCACTTCAATTCGTGCTAGGCGAGTATGCTCCAACTCTGCCTTAGGGATTGTTCCACCTAAGAAAACTCCCTCATATATGAGCTTCCTTACATCCCCCAGATCTAGATATGTCTTCACGCTTGCAAGGTTGAATGTTTTTCCAACTGTAGAGCTAAGTGGCCGTTTTGCTAAAATACAGTACTCAAATAGATTGTGTAATTGTGGATCAGGTGCAATAGAGACCTTAGATCATCTTATGTTATTTTGCCACCAATGGATTGACCCCAGATCCTGCTGGATTACTCCTATTTTACAAAGATATCACCTCCCTATGGAACCCTGGGTGATAACCATACTATTAGCTGATGAGGACCCTGAAACGACTCGCTTGGTGGCAAAATATCTTTCAATAGTGCTATTTTTAAAGCGGCTTTGAAATGTTATGAGTACCTTTTGTATACAATTTTAAAATTTTAAAACTAATTTCCATAATATCATGGGATTTTATAGAATTCATTGAAGTTTATAAAATGTGGTCTGATGTTACTGATTGAGAGCATGTTTACTAGCTTTTATTGTAAAGGTGTTCTGTCTAAATATTTTGTAATTTTATGTAATGCATTTTATATTTGTTGTTTGCATGTTTGGCTTAAGACCTCGGGTCAATGAAGCTAATAAATGAAATGGAGGATGGGTTCTTTGGAGGAACAGCACAGAAATTTTCTAAATAAATAAATAACCATAGGTGAAGGTGACATAGAATAGTCAATGAAGCTAATAAATGAAATGGAGGATGGGTTCTTTGGAGGAACAGCACAGAAATTTTCTAAATAAATAAATAACCATAGGTGAAGGTGACATAGAATACAGACTAGAGACAAGCCTAATAGGGCATGAGGAATTTCACATTACCCTTTTTAACCCGTTTTGAAGCCGCTTTTGATCTGTCATGGAGTAAACCGGTATAGGGCTGCCATTTCACACATGGCTTTCCCCTTCCGGTAAAGAGCTGGATCTGAAGCGGTTTGCCATTTCAGACTGCACCGCTTTCCCCCGCTTTTCCCCTGCCGTTTTTCGTCCATGCGGGCAATCTCCGACTTTTTTTTTTAACATTAGCTTTAGAGCGCTATAGCGTTATAGCACTATAACAAAACACTCCAGGCATTCCAATGGGGTTGATATGATGCTGTTGCGTTATAGCGTTATAG